AGCATCCTCCCTGCCCCACTTCACTCCAGCTGCCGGGCCCCACGTGGGCTCCGTCGTGCTCTGCCCAGCTGCAGTCGGATGGCACCCTGCCTCGGGGGCAGACCACACACCCTCCCACGTGCACAACCCAGCAGTGCGGGTGTCAGAGGCCAAACACCGGGCTTCTTGATCGAGTCCATCCGGTATGAGTGGTGTCCGTGCTCTGACTGGCAGATCCTTGTACTGGCTGCTTCTCCTAAGGAACAAGAGACATTTCTGGTAGGAGGGGCCAAGTAGACGTCCCCCAAACGGACCCAGTTTCCCTTCAGTCCCCAACTCAGTGACTCTGGAGCAAAGCCGCGTGCCTGGAAGGGCTGCCCAAGGTCAGGGTCCCCGCCGAAGACGTGATGCAGGCGATGTGTCCCCTCACATCTCTGTTCAAATCGTTTGTCCTGCAAAAACAAACAAGGAAACGAAACAAAGCAAAGCACCAGGTGTATTGTGGTGAGGGATTGCGGATGACCGTGGTGAAGCTCAGAGTCTCGGGGACTGTGACGCCGCCTCCTGTCAGCTGCCGGCGCCCGCGCAGTGGGCCAGGCCCAGAGTAGCCATGGCGGCGGCGAAGGAGGACGGCCTGGCTCCCTCTGCAGGGCTGTTCCTGACACTGCAGGGCACCCACCCGGCCGCTCACAGGGTCCACTCTGAGACCCCACTGAGGGACCAGCCACGGGGGATCCCGTGGCCTCCCGGTGGCAGCTTGGGCAGACCAGATTCCTTCCCACCTGGCAGGGACAGTGGGAAGGGACACCTTCCTGGACCCCAGGGGATAGGAATGGACTCCAGTTCTGGACGGTGCCGCATGCTGAGGCATGCTCCCCCCCCCCAAAAGGGCAGGTGTGGTGATGTCCCCACAAGCTTTCCTCCCCCCAGCCAGGCAGATGGTTCTGGGAAGCGCTTCATGAGGCTCCTCAGAAGGTCCCCAGGGGGGTCCACGGTGGCCCCAGCTGGAGACTACAGCCCCGCGTTGGCCTCCCTCCCCTGTTCTGCTCCCTGGGGCCCCGTTCCCAAATACGCCCCCAGCACACAGGGCTCTGCTTTTGGAAGAAGCAGGCCAGGACCCCTCTACTCCCCAAACGCTCATTTTATGAAAATGAGGACGTGATAGGAGGAGTCCTCTTGTGCATCATTGATTGAGGAAAACAAATAGTCCCATTAGCCTTTCCCGGTCTTATCTGAAATTTCAAAGGCTGTACAGCCTCACCTACTTTTTTGACACTCTCCTTTTACCGCCAGGGGAATTGCCAGTGCCTGAAAGGATGAGGTCCTCTGGAGAGTCAAAGAGCATAGCCTCTGAAGAAGGGAGAGAAATGAGGAGGAGGAAGGCTTCCAGGCAGGCCAGGGGCGCGGCCAGGAAGAGGGGAGGGGCGAGCCGGAGCCAGGTCGGAAACTCGGCTCAGCAGCCAATATGGTGCCCAGAGCCCAGAGGCTTAGAAAGGGGCCTGTCGGGCGCAACAAGGGCTGACCTTCGCTGAAGGCCGTCCACGTGCCCAGTGCTGTGTAAGACTTACACACACCGTTTACACTTCACAACAGCCTCTGAGGGAGGCAGAAGGGAAGCAAGGCAGGGGCGATCCTTCAGTCCATTGGCTTTTCCAACACGCAGAGCTCGGCGGTCCAGCTCTGGGGACTGGGCTCTCAGGTCAACCTTGGGCTGTTGACATTAACTGTCTAAATGGACGGCGATTGTCTCATTCTAGACTGGACTTTTCACTGAAGCTTTTTCATCGTGTTTTATTCGTATTCACTTCTGTTCCTAAACGTGTTCAGCCCAACACCAACACACAAAGTGCCAGGTTGTCACAATCGCCTGGGATAGGCTTGTGATTTTCTACCTACAACTTTGCTGTCTGTTTCAGACCTTAGCTGAGGATAAAGCGAAAGCTTCAGTTTCCTTCCTCTTGTGGTCAGAAATATTACTCAACTTTTGTGGACTTCTTAATGTAGCCATTTCCTGTGTCTTAAAGGTAAGTTTCAGGGCTTCCCTAGTGGAACGGTGGTTAAGAATCCGCCTGCCAACGCAGGGGACATGGGTTTGAGCCCTGGTCCGGGAAGATCCCACATGCTGTGGAGCAGCTAAGCCCACGAGCCACAACTACTGAGCCTGCGCTCTAGAGCCTGCGAGCCACAACTACTGAGGCCACGTGCCACAACTACTGAAGCCCGCGTGCCTAGAGCCCGTGCTCCGCAACAAGAGAAGCCACCACGAGAAGCCCACGCACCACAAAGAAGAGTAGCCCCTGCTCGCCGCAACTGGAGAAAGCCGGCATGCAGCAACGAAGACCCAACACAGCCAAAAATTTAAAAGTAAATAAATAAAATAAATAAGTTTATTAAAAAAAGGTAAGTTTCAAAAATCTTTGAATCATAAAAGTGTTAGAACTAGCGAGAACATTTAGCAACCACTTGCTTTATGTTAATAAACTGAGTCTCAAAGAAGTTAAGTGCCTTATACCATGAGTAAATATAAGTCACCGTAAGAACTCTGGCCTCCTGTCTCCCATTCATTGGTGTCACTATACAGAATATCTCTTGGAAAGATCTGGTATGCAATAGAAAGTTGCATCGTCTTTGCTACACATCATTGGAAATTAAAACTCACCTTTGGTATAGTCAGCATGTCTAAAGTTATGCTATTAACAAGACCTACCTCTGGGAGCAGTAGGTATTGTTACTGTCAACTGAAAGAAAAAACTCACAGCATAAGAGCTGTGAGTTTTAAGTTTTATTCAGGGTCTTACTGAGGACTATAGCCTGGGAGACAGCCTCTCGGGAGCTCTGAGTAAACTGCTCTGAAGAGGCTGGGGGAGAGTCCAGTGCTTGGGCTCAAGCATCAAGTATACATCTTGATAAAACACTACTTATTGCTAGTCACAAAGAACAGACATCTCAAGTTAATGATTTTAGTGCTTTTCTATGTACAGAAAGATGCAAGAATCTGAGTTCATTAAAATTCTTGCTGAAATACACTTCTGCCTGTCTAAGGGGCCTGCTTGTCCAAGCACAGAGCACCCTGTTCCCATCATTCCCTCCGTCTGAGGCAGAGGGTACTGCTGGTCAGCAGCTGTAGTGGGTTAACCCTTGCAGAACTGCACAAAGCTCTCTGTTCTTCTTTGTTTACATTATGTATGTTATGTATGTTAAGGTATTGTTATGGACTGAACATGTGTGTCCCCCCAAAATTCACGTGTTGAAACCCAACCCCCTGTGTGATGGTGTTAGGAGGTGAGGCCTGTTGGAGGAGATTAGGTCATGAAGGTGGAGCCCTCGTGGTGGGATTAGTGCCCTTGTAAATGAGGCCCCAGAGAGCTCCCTCGCCCCTTCTGTCACGTGAGGACACAGCAAGAGGATGGCCGTCTGCAACTCAGAGGAGAGCTTCCCCAGAGCCCGACCATGCTCTCACCTGATCTCAGGCTTTCAGCCTCCGGAACCATGAGAAATAAATGTCTGCTGTTTATGAGACATGCAGCCTATGGTACTTTGTTATAGCAGCCTGAATGGACTGAGGTATGACAAAACTAGGAAATAAATATAATTTAAGTCTGCATGTTGAGCTCCCCAGGCAGACAGTGCTGGATGAATGTTGGTGTGTGTTAAGCCTCCTGCACCATGGGTCATAATAGTCCATCTGTTTGAACGTAGAGACATCTAACCGAGGCTGCAGCCTATGAGACGTGAGCATCCATGGATACTATGAGGGTTGTCTAGCTTTAATCATATGTCCACAGAAATGATTCTATGTTATTGCTGCTATTTCACTTTAATTGGGAGATTTAAATAATATACCCCAAAATGTTGTATGCATTACAACAGATGGTATAGGAAATAATTTTAGGCAACACCCCAACAAATATGTTTTATTTAAATATCTCTGTATTTCATATGTATTAAAATATATTGCAGAACACATATTGATTAAAAAACTGGTACCCAAAATAAAGTTAAAACTCAACACCAAGAAACCAAACAGCCCAATTTTAAAAATGGGCAAAGATCTGAATAGTTACCTCATGAGGGAAGATGTGCAGATGGCAAGTAAGCATATGAAAAGATGCTCTGAATCATATGTCATTAGAGAATTGCAAATCAAAACAGCAGTGAGATACCAGGACACACCAATCCGGAACACTGACAGCACGAAATGCTGGCGAGACTGTGGAGCAACAGGAACTCCATTCATTGCTGGTGGAGACACACAAGGGTGCTGCCACTTTGGAAGACAGTTTGGCGGTTCCTTATCAAACTAAATGTAGTCTCATTATGTGATCCAGAAAGCACACTCCCTGGTATTTACCCAAAGGAGGTGAAGACTTATGTTCACACAAAAACCTGCATGGATGTTTATAGCAGCTTTGTTCATAGTCGTGAAAACTTGGAAACAAACAAGATGTCCTTCAGTAGGTTAACGGATACGTAAACTGTGGTTCAGACAATGGAATGTTACTCAGCACTAAAAAGAAATGAGCTATCAAGCCACAGAAAAGACACGGAGGAATCTTAAATGCACATGGCTTACAGAAAGAAGCCGGTCTGAACAGGATACGTACTGCATGATTCTGACTATATGACATTCTGGAAAAGGCAATATAGAGACAGTAAAAAGAGCAGTGTCGGCCAGGGGTTCAAGGCGGGTGGGGAGAGGGTGATTAGGTAGAACACAGAGAAATCTGAGGGCAGTGAAACTATTCTCTGTGATACTGTAATGGTGGACACATAACACACTTGTTAAAGCCCATAGAACTGTACAGAAATGGACATTAAATTATGAAATTTGGTTAATACTAATGTGTCAATATTGGTTCATTAACTGCACCCAATGTAACATACTAATGCAAGGTCTTATTAATAGGAGAAAGTGTGTATATTGGGGGGAGGGTACGTGGGAACTCCCTGTACCAGATGCTCAATTTTTCTGAAAATGTAAAACTGCTCAAAAATCAACTATTAATTTAAAAAACCCTCAGGTGCTCACCTCGGCAGCACATAGACTAAAATTGGAACGATACAGAGAAGATTAGCATGGCCCCTGAGTAAGGATGACACGCAAATTCCTGAAGCGTTCCATATTAAAAAAAAAAAAAAACTCAGAGTTGTTGCTCAATGAATATCGTTATTATAAGCGTCCAGTATGTGCCAATGACCGCTTCAGCGCTGGAGGTCAGGCCTGTATCGTAAACGGCCCGGGTCTGCGCTGCTGCGGGGAGAGTGCAGGCGGCGCGATCTGCCACCAGGTGGCGCTCCTCCTCCCCGACTCAGTCTCTCTCATTTCTTCATTTTCTCCATTCTGCTCCTGTCTTCTCCTTCTTTCCCTTCCCGTGTGTACACTGTCATCCCTGGATCTAGTCACCTGGGTATGGAACCCAGCCCCGCCGTTTCCACGAGGGCGGCCTCCACCTTGGCGGGGGGGCGCGGGGAGCTCCGGTGCCCCGGGCGGCACGTCGCAGCCTCTGGGTCCCGGCGCGGGTGGAAAGTGATGGTGACCGGCCAGGGCGCTGGGTGAGCGCGCGAGCCTGCTCCACCTGCATCAGTCCCGGGCCCGGGTCCCTTTCCCTGCTCCTCCCACGCCGCCCCTGCCTGTGTGATGAATCTCCAGACCCTGCAGCTCACCCGCTGAGACTCGGCCTCGCCCCCGGCTCCCCAGCCCGGGGTGGGGCGTTCACACCCGGACCACCCCGGGCTGGTCCCCAGCCTCACGCGCCTTGCCTCCCCTCAGATCTCTCCGCCTGGGGAAGCGGATTCGACAATCCAAAACCTAGCGGGGGAGACCCACCCTGCGCTAAGAGACCGGACAGCATCAAAGTGATTGTGTGACTGTGTGGCTGGGGGCGGGGTGGGGACGACGCGCTGGATGCGACAGAGGGAGGGCAACCAGCGGGCCCAGAGCGGGGACGCCCGGGTCAGGTCACCGCAGCGCGGGGGGACACAGGCTCGGGGCTGGGGAGGGGTCTCCGGGGGAATTAGAAAGGATCACGATGAACAACTTGGATTCTTCTTGCGATAGGGAAAAAGGCTGGTCCACGAAATTACGTTAGAATTAAAACTTGCATTTCTCAAATGACAAACCAAAATGGGCCACAGAATAGAAAGACATTTATAACACATTTACCTAATAAAATATTAGTATTCAGAATATATAAAGAATTACTATAGATCTTATAGTAAAAAACATAAACCTAATGCTTAAAATAGGCAAAAATAAAAACAGGCAAATCAGTGAAGAGGAAAAACAAGGGAAGAAAAGTTCAACCTCACTAGAAATTAGGAAAACTCAAATAAGACCCCACAGGTTGACAAAAACTAAGAAGTCTGGTCGTACCAGACGGTGATGAGGGTGTTTTCAGACACTGCTGGTAAGAATGTAGATTATTACAATCACACTGGAAAGTCATTTTAAATCTCAGTAACTCCACTCCTACAACCCAGCATACTTATGTCCACACGTATAAGAACGTTCAGAGCAGTCTTATTTGTAATAATAAGAAAAAGAGAAATAGCCTAAATTTCACCAACAGGATAAGAAAATTTAATACAGTTATATAACAACTGTTCACAGCAGTGAGAATGAACGAGATACAGATCTCATCACAGTATACAAAGAGAAAACAGATGCATGAAGATACATACATTCACAGGCACTGGGGCTGGCTGTGTTTAGGACTCAGGGCAAATGGGGTGGGACGTGCCCTCCCTTTAAACGTGGCTGGTTCTGTGGGCCCGGCCTCCCAGGGAGGCGCTGCCACTGAGCCACATGGTGAAGCTGGGCTCTGAGTTTGCTAGTGAATCATGAGTACATTTTCGTTTTTCTTACAGCCCAGAGTAACGCTCACACCTGTGATCAGTGGGCAAGCAGGACACCCCGACCCCTGATCCCTGGAAGTGTCCTGCTCAAGGGCCACTGACTTTAAACTGTTATCCAACAGACTCTCCCTGGAAAAAAAAAAAAAAAGTGTTTGATGGTTTTTGGTTGAAGCACAGAGCAGTCACAGAGTTAAAATTGCTCGGGACCTCAGGGAGACACTAGTTCAGCTTTCTCATTTTACGGCCTGAGACCTGGAAAGGTAAGGCGATTTTCCTGGGCTCACACAGCCTGACACCGCTGTTTTCTGTCAGCAACTCTGAGGAATCTATGGGAGAAAATGTGTTGGAAGTTTTAAAGCAATTGTTCTTTCTTCTGGTGTCTTAGAGTCTCCTCACTGATGGCAAACTTGATTTTTCCCGCTGTTCCACCCATCAGTGCTGATCAGGACCCACATCTGCTTTCCTTATTATCCAAGTCACTCTCCCCCTGCACACATCGTTTGCTTCCTTACTTGAGTGGTGTTTGAATGAAGTCATCCCTTACTGCACATCAGCTGACTGTGCTTTTTGAAATCATGCTCTTGGTGGCTCCCGAGTTTACCCCTAACCCCTGCCCCCGGTCGCTTTCTTGCTTTGTGCTCACGCCATCCCGTCCGTGTGGGCCTGTGCCTGTTTTCTTGGGCTACTGGGTGCTTCTTGAGAAAGTTGTGAGACAGGCTGATGGGTGTTACTACAGTTCTAGCTTATACCTGGTAACCATTTTATTTAACTACTTATCATAAGTTATTATTTCTATTATCATGTTATTTCAGTTTTCTTAGGTGCCAAACTATACACCTAGTAACCATTTTATTTAGTTATCATAAGTTATTATTTCTATTATCATATTATTTCAATTTTCTTAGGTGCCAAACTAAGTCGGTTTACTTCTGAAAGTACTCCAGGCAGTTTCAGCTTCAGGCAGATTTCAGAGTCTAGTTCAGTTTGGAATCTGTGAATTCAAGCAACTCTGGAGTGAACTCAGATTCCCACTCCCAGATCTCAGCTTCTCGAACGGCGAGGTATGTACTTTCATTTGCTCATCTGGTATGGGAAAGAGCACAGGGCTCTGGATACCTAGAGACCTGCTTTCCAATCTGAACTCCAAGACCTACTGTGTGACCTTAGGCAAGTTATTTAACCTCTTTTGAGAGAGTTTTGTAAAATGGGAGTCTACACTTCTATCCCTGGGACAACTGAAAGAGATTAAACGTGTAAATGTGCCTGGTGGCAAATTAATACCCAATGGTTTTGCTTGCATCTTCATTTTAACTTGAAAACTGGCTGCTGGTATTTAATTCTTGACAGATGAGAAACAAACAACAACAAATCAAAAAACCTAAACATTATTTCTATGACTTGAAAACTGTGCTAATGCTAAACTCTTCCGTAAAATTCAAGAGGAAGGAATACCTCACAATTCAATCTATTAGACCAGTATTACTCTGATAGTAAGACCAGAAAAACACATTACAAGGAAAACTACAGACTAATAACACTCATGAACATAGATGTGACAGTTCTTAACAAAATTTTAGCAAATCAAACATTCATTCGTGATAGAAACCCTCACCATCTAGGGGAAGAAGGGGATGTCCTCAACTATAAAAAACCTATAGCAAAAATATAATTAATGGGGAAAGACTGAATTCTTTCTAATATGAAAGAGGAAAAAAAAATTTGCTGTTATCGTGTCTATCCATTAGTACTAGAACTATTATTAGAGGTTCTAGCCAGTGCAACAAAGCAAGAAAAAAAAAAGGCTCCATATTGGAAAATAAGTAAAATACTTAATTTGTAGAAATCATAATCATTTATTTTAAAAACCTTGGGAATCTACAGAAAAAGCTAGACTGACTTATAAATAAGTTTAACAAGGTTTCTGGATAAAGAGACAATATTGAAAAATCAACTGAACAATCAAGTTGAAGCTAGATAAACAATATATTTAATTAAACCTCAAAAATACAAAATGGGAGGAATACATTTGACAAAAGATGGGCAACACTTAATCACTGAAAACTACAAATTGTAGCAAAGAGAAATTAAAGAAGACTTGAATAAATAAAGATACAGTGGTCATAGATTGGAGGACTTAATATTGTTAAGGTGTGAATTTACTCCAAATCAATCTAAGGATTCAAAGTAATTCTACTCAAAAACTCAGATTTTTTTTTAAAGAAATTGACAAGCTGATTTTAAAATTCAGGAAATGTCAAAATGACTTAGAATAGGCAAAACAACTTTGCAAAAGAACAAATTTAGAGAACTTAACACTACTTGGTTTCAAGACTTATTATAAAGCTACAGTATTAAAGACAGTGTAGCACTGGAGAAAAAATAAGCAAAAAAGTAATAGAACAGAACAGAGTTTAAAATAGACCAATACCGATATGATCATTTAATTTTAAACAGTGTTGGCATGGCATTTCAATGGAGAAATGCTAATCTTTTAAATAAAAGGTGCTGGAACAACTGGATAGTATATTGAAAAAAAATAAAACTCAACCCTTACCTCATACCATATACAAAAAATTAACTCAAGATGGAGAAAGACCTAAAAATAAGAGCTAAAACTTCCAGAAGAAAACATAGAAAATCTTAGTGACTTTGCCAAAGTTTCTTAAAAATGATAAAAGTCATGGAACAACTGGTAGTTTAGACTTCAAAAAAATAAAAGCTTATGCTATTCAAAAAACACTTTATGGAAATAAAAAGGCAAGCCACATACTAGGAGAAAATATTGCAAAACATATATCTGACAAATAAATTATATTTGGAATATTAAAAAAACTCTACAATTTAACAATAAGATGACAATCCAATTAAAAATGGGCAAAAGATTTGAACAGACAAATACATCAAGGACAATACACGGACAGCAAAGCAGCAGATGGAAAGATGCTCAACATAATTAGTTATTAAAGAAAGGCAAATTAAAACCACAGTGAGATACCACTACACACCCACTAGAAAGAGTAAAATTCAAAAGGCTGACCATTCCAAGTGCTGGTGAGGAAGTGAACCAACTGGAAGGTCATGCATTGTGGGTAGAAATGTAAGACAGTACAACCACTTTGGAAAACAGTTTAGTAGCTTCTAGAAAAAGATACGACTACCGTATCACCCTGCCATGCCACTCCTAGGTATCTACCCCAGAGAAATGAAAAGTATATGTCCATGCCGAGACCTGACACAGATGTTCACAGCAGTTTTATCTGCAATCAGGGCTGG